GGGGGGGGGAAGAAGAACAAACTGGGGATGAGGGTGGAGAAAACAGTGCAACAATGAATGAATGAAAACCCAAAACCTCTGTAAATGTTCATTAAAACTAATAAAATTTAATAAAAAAAAATTACAGACCGTGACTGAAGCTCATGTTGATGTCAAGACCACTGCTAGTTATTTGCTTCATCTGTTTCGTGTGGATTTAAAAAAAAAAAGCAACAATCAAATTTGGAAGACCTCTTCTGCTAGGCACCAACAGGTCCTTCAAATCCAGAAGAAAATTATGGAAATCAAGACCCTAGAGGTGCAGACAAATTACTTAAGTGATCAAAAAATTGATTCCAGACAGCACTGGGAAAGACATAGAAAGGCTTGCCAGTCTATTTATGCTCTCCATGATGTATCTGTTAGAAAAGTGAAGACATTGAAGAAGCCAAGAACTGGGAAAACTCCTGACGATGAGACAAGTGCTAAAATTGAATGAGCTGATGGCTATGAGCCACCAGTTCAAGAATCTGTTTAAAATTCACACTTATAAAAATAAGTCATAAAAGACAAATAAAAGTTAATATTTGTGAAAATAAAAATTTCCAGATCATAGTTCAAGGCAAAAATGCAAGACCCTTTTTCACCTATTATTAAGAATTTTTAAATGGTGACAGCAGAGTATTAAAAGAAGCCTGGGATTCTGTGCAAGTACACGAGCTGTGTATCCATGAATCTGACCTTGATAACATCCCAGAGATGAGAGTGGAATGATTTCAAAGTGGTATACTGGAGATACCTCAGACTAAGTATTGAAGCCAATTCTTTTCAGGAAGTTTGCAATTTGATTGATGTCACACTAGTAGCTTGAAACAGCCACAGCGACAGTATTTCCACTACATACACTCATAGTAAATCCTACATAGTCAACTCAACCCATTGACATAAAGGCCCTTCAGACTCCTAGTGACATTGCAGGACAGAGAAAATTGCCCTATAGGGTTTCTGAGGTGGCATATCATTACAAAACAAACTTCCTTTAAGTGCTTGATCAAGGTAAAAGATCAAGGACTACAGTCTTCAAATGAATTACATTTCAACATCAAGAAAATAATTCTAAAAAAAAAAAAAGAAAATAATTCTTACCACTGGACCAATAGTCAAAGTCATGATAGATGGAGAAAAGATTGAAGCTGTCAGAGATTTCATGTTACTCAAATCCACAATCAGCACCCTTAGTCCCAGCAGACAAGAAATGAAAAGGTAAGTCACATTGAGAAAATCTGCTATCAGGAACTTCTGCAGCGTACAAAAGGGCAATGATGTCAGTTTAAAGACTAAGGTGCACAAAATCCAACCATGGTCTTTTCAGTTGCTTGCTTGCTATGCATCTGAAAGCTAAACAATGACTAAGAATGACAGAAAAAGAATCAACATATCTTTGAACTGTGGTGTTGGAGAGAGTACTGAATATTCCATGGACTGCCAAAAGAACAAATAGCTCTCTCTTGGAGAAAGTGAAGCCACGGTGCTTCGTGCTTCATGGAGGCAAAGATGGCAAAATTTCATCGGACATACTTTGAGCATGATGTTAACTGGAGCCAGTCCTTAGAGAAGGACATCTCTCTAAGAAAGATGGAAGATCGGTATAGGAGAGGAAGACCTTTAACAAAATGGATTGACTGTCGCAATGGGCTCAAGTGTGTCAGAGATGATGAGGATGGCACAGGGCAGGGCACGGTTTAGATCCGTTGTTCATAGGGTTACTGTGAGTTGTAGTTGACTCGATGGCACGCAACAAGATTAGGAGTGAAGTCCACTATTAAAACATTTGCCAGCATACTTCTGAACATACCTGAAAGCCTCCACGGACTATCATAGTGCCTAGATGAGAAAGTCCCTCTTCCTGTCCCTGATACAAAATCTCGGCTTTATTGTCCACAGAAGGTGTCACTACCTGGGTGCCTGGAAAACAAATGTGACGTGAAAACAAAGATCACCTCTGATCAGTAACAATCCAAAACAACTGATTATCAAAATACAGTCAGAAAAAGAAATTCTTCTAAGAGAATTTAGAGATTTTTAATGGAATTCACTTTTTATATGTACAAAATCGGGCCAAAAGAAACTGTGTTAATAAACTGTTTTTCTTGTTACTTAATTTGTATTTTATTTATTCAGTTCGTTTTCATTATTTTTACTTGTATTTTTATTAATTCCTTGAAATTATTCTAAATAATACTTACTAGCAATTTCAAAACCTGTGGTGCTTAAGGTGTTAAATAATTGCCAGATAAAGATTGCAAAAGCATTAGTGCAAGAAATAAAACCAGAATTCCGATTATAACAGTAAATAAAAAAGAGAGAGAAATGAAATAAAGACATTCAAAAGTGATTCCATAAATGTTTTATAGTCTGTGGGGAGTTGAGCTGCTAACTAAAACGTGGACTACCTCTCATGTTGGAATCCACCAACAGCTTCACAGGAGAAATGTGGACAAACTCCTTCCACATGATGTATGGCCTCTGAAACCCTGCTGGGTAACCAGCTGTGAGTGGGTTTCCACTCAATGGCAATGAGTTAGTGATAGCCATAAAATGAATTTTAATTAAACCATTAATTAAAATGCTATCTACATGCTTTGCTGTTGTTGTTATGTACTGTGAAGTCGAGACTGACTCATAGCTGACCCTCCAGAAGGTTTTCAGAGGCAGTAAATCACATGGCAGTTAATTACCCATCTTCCTCCCAAGGAGCAAAATATGGGATATGTTAGAAGAAGGAAAGGATCGAGTTACGGAATACAGCTAATTTTATTAAAAGATCAGAGAGATAATAATGTCTCTGTAGAAGAAGATCTATGAGAATAGCCTCTAGAAAGTGATCATCACTGGAAAATGGGATGGTGATGAAAAAGGAGGTGAAAAGCAAGAGAATTTTTACCATCTATACTCTGTATTGTTTTCCCTATTTCAATTTTTATTTAACTTTATTATCATTAACATATATCTTTTTTTAAAGAATAAATATAAAACATCAAAACAAATAACCAAGATTCAAGAAAATGCAGAACCTTAGCCAGATGTCCCTTAAACAGAATTAGGGTCTTAACCAGATTATTGTGCACTTGGACACTGAATGACTTTGGCACCAAAAAGAATTTTATTGACATCTATACCACCTTTTTGGCCTTTAATCCTCCATTCTAAGAAGCAAAATTAGGTTCAAATTCTTAGGATTACAGATGCTATATTAAAATATTAGTAATGTAAATAAATTATAAAGCTGAAAAACATTATCAATGGTTGACACTCAACAAGAGATCATACAGTGAATTGTGGGAGTTGTTATATGCCATGAAGTGGCCTATCAGAGTAACTCTATGAACAACCAATCAGAACTTTGCCCTAGCCTGCCCCATCCTCACAATCTCTCACATGCTTAAGCTCACTGACAGTCACTGTGTCAATTCATCTTGTTAAGTGTCTTCCTCTCTTTCTCTTACCCTTTACCTTTCCTAGCAGGAAGATTGAGAAAAGGAACATAAAAATTAAAATTATCCTTCTACTATAAAATTCAGTCCTTGAGACGCAGTGAGACACGTGTAAGCATTTATGAAGTAGAAACAAGGATGCCTTTTCCAGAGCTGAAATACCCAAACTGATAGAATCCTCTGTCCTATTTCTACTTAGTGTACATCAGTGTATTACGATAATCACTGTTCAAGTAGGGATTCTGAATATTATTTCCATTTCAACTTCCTGCTTTTTATTTCTCATTTAATAAACTTTATTCTTCACTATCCCTGCTTCAATCACACATTTATTCACTTCTGTAGTTGTTAGTTGATATTTTTAGTAGTTTAACAGCAGTATATTTTCTTCCTCAACTCACTGTCTGCTGAGTTCTTCTTAAAGAGACATTTCATTTTAACTAGCTTTGTTTTAACCAGAGAAATGTACATGTTACATTGACTTTCTGAACTAAAATGTGGGTGTGGCTATAGAACTTCATGAATACACTTTAAGATTACACTTTTTACCTCTTTTTCTCTAACTTTTGGAGAAATAATTTCAGGAAAAACACAAATATTTGATAGATTATCAACAATCAAGCAAATGGGCTTGATTTCTGCCAGTGCTACCCCCTCTATACACTATTTCCTTAACAAAATATGTTGAAGAAACAAAAGGTGGGGGGAAAACAGTTATTTCTGAGAATATGAAAGACTGTCCTCTCAAACCAACAAATTCATAATAGCAGCATGTATTGAGAACATATTCTATGCCAGAGAAGCATCTTACAGGAGCTATCATGTTCAATCTTCACAAACTTCAACAAGGGAGGTATAATTATCATTCTCACCATAGAGATGAGGAAAGTGATGCATTGAAATGCTGAGAAAGGGAATGTCCTACCACTCAGTGAAACCCAGGCAGCTTGACTCCAGAGACCCCACCCTTCAAACCTTTACTCTCCTGAATCCTTTTTTATGCCATTACATTCACAATCATCTCACATTCTCTCATTTAAAAATTAGGAAGAAGATATCTGTGTAAATCTAGGCAGAAACTTTGTTTTGCCCCCACTGTACCCCCAACTTCTCACAGTACAAATATGTGCTCATTCAGTAAATACATGTTGAATGAACAAATTAGAGAGACATCTGGTTCTCTCAAGAGGATATTTTCAGAAGGATGTGTAAACATCCTATATGGCTAATTGGCTTAAGAATTTCCAAGGTAAAAAAAAAAAAGAATTTTCAAGGTTTGGTGCAAGTGAGTGTATGTTACTTACTTCTCTGTCTCTTGTAGTTTTGTATCTTTTTCATAAGGCTAGGTTTCACTGTTTTGCAGGCCTTCTCCAGTGTCTCCAGGTTATCTTCACTTAGGAGACCTTGTTTCTCTAGATGTTGCATGAAACTTAGAGAAGTCTGGAAGAGAATTAAGTGGAGTCACATTTACTTGCCCTCTGATTAGTCATCATTCAGAAAATGCTATCTGCATGAGTACTACGTGCCAGACTTTGTACTGGTAGACAAGATACAATATCTGCCCTCATGGTGTTTAGTAATGTGGAGAAAAAGGCATTATTTCATCTCTGTATGGTCTATATTAATATCAGAAACCAAGGCAGTCCTGGATGTGCTCACCAGTCTGCTCCAGGAAATTTAGAAGACAGCTACCTGGCCAACTGACTGGAGGAGATCTCTATTTGTTCCCATTCCTAAGAAAGGTGTAGAAATTATTGAACAATGTCATGAATATTGCCTGCAAGTCTTGCTAATGATTATCCCTAAATGGCTAGAAAAGTACATCAACAGGGAATTGCCAGAAGCTCAAGCTAGATTTAGAGGAGGCTGTTAATACCAGGAATATCATTGCTAATATTAGAAGGATCTTGACTTCAAAGCAGAGAATATCAAAAGAATATTTACTTGTGTTTTATTGACACAAGACATTTGGCAGCGTGGCACATAACAGATTATGGGGAAGGAGGAAGGGAGGAAATAGTGAAACAATGAATTAACATTTTTTAAAAAATTAATTGGGTGAGGGGGAAAGGAGGGAAATGTGCAAAAATGAATGAACAGAAGTCCAACTTTTCTGTAAACTTTTACTAAAATCACAATTAAAAAGAGAACACTGTGTGTGGGGGGGAGAAGGGTGCAACAATGAATGAATGGAATTCCAAAATCTCTGTAGGTGTTCATTGAAATGAAAAATAAATAAAAAGAACTCTTGCAAAAAAAAAGAGAGAGAGAACACTGCACTGGCAAATTTTCACAGAAAGTACTTGAAAAGCTTCTTTGCTAAAAAGCTAGCAGGTCTGGGTGTGGTTTCCTTTTCACCCAAGAGTCTACGTAAATTGCTGCACCTACAGCAGTGTCTCTTGGAGCCCCTGAGAACCTTTGGCAGTAGCCACCACTGCTGTACTTTCATATTTGTGCTGTCATAAAGATCAAGTCCAGGATATTTTACAAAGGTCACTTTTGTTCCCCTGAGACACTATGCAAATTGAAGATCCTTCTCTTGGCTGAGAGATTTTTAAGTCCTCTTCCAATGATACATAATTTCTCCAATAAAATCTCTTGTAATTGGAATTTCTCATCATGTGAACTCATTAAGCCTGGTATGGAAGCCCACCTGGATTGGAGGTGTACTGACATAACGCAGGGAGCGCTCATCATCTAGTTGTAAGGAGCTATGCTGTCAGTCGAGCAGGCACTTCAAATCCACCAGTAGCTCTGCCAGGAGAAAGAAGGCCAATCTCCTCCTAGGCAATTGAAAGCCTCTGAAAACCTGCTCAAGGATCAGTTATGAGTGGTTTCTGACTCAACGGCAAAGAGTAATACAAAATTCCTAAGTCTGGCCTGATCACAAAACTCAATAGTAATCAGCTACAAGTCTGATACTTTATAGACTTTCTTTTCCTTCGCATTAAATCTTATCTCCGTAGGGGAGCTCTGGTGGCCTAGTGGCAAGGAGCTGCAACTGCAATCCCAGAGGCACACGGTTCAAATCCACCAGATGCTCTGCTGGGGAAGGAGAGGCAATCTCCTCCTGTACCAGTCAGATCTGATTTGACGGTACACACACACAAAAATAATAAAATTTAAAAAAAATCTTATCTCCCTTGGAATGAAAAAAGAGTGTCCTTTTCCTAGATGTGGGCAAGTAATAGCACAGTCCTACGCCAGAGTTAAAACACAACACAGACTTCTCCTTCTCCTGTTGGACTGAGGGAAGGAAGCACAAAAAAGCATTTATATACTCGAGAATGATCATCTGAAAGCTAACTTAGCGCGCAGAGTGATGTCTGGCTTGCTGTTGTTATTGCTGTTAAATCTGCCATCAGGTTGATCACAACCTATTGTGAGTCCTGTATTACTGATCGTAAAAATATTCCTGTGGTTAGTGTCATCTAGCCAAGGACTAAATCTATGTGGAATCAAAAGCGAAAGAAAGTCATTCCCCACCCTTTATGGAAAATCACTCGTGTTGATTATAATAGCATTTCTTTAACAAACGAGGCCTTCCTCTTATTCCATTCTCACCCCAAGGTCCCTGGAGAACAAATACTTGTGTTCATGACTTGGGAACACATGCAACAATAAAGTGGTCTAATCTTTTTGAAAACTGTGTGGGTTGATACAAGTGAGTGTACATGTGTGCAGATAGAAGAAGCTGCATGTACCAAGTACACGGAGATTTGTGTACATATACACACATGGTCACAAAAGTCACTATTAGAGATGTTTCTCAGACATCATTAAACACCTTGTAGGATTGGTTCTCTGGGTCTTAGTGCCTTAGTTTTATTGGACAACTCAGTCAATTAGCATAATAAAGTTCACAGAGTTCATGTTTTGCAATCTTCATGAGGTGACTAATACAGTAATGTCTGAGGTGATAAAAACTTGCAACAGTCATCTAAAATATACCTTTTAGTCTTTACTAATGTGGATAGGGAACAAATAAGAAAGAAGGAAATCAACGTCTCAGAGGAGAAACTAGTCCACAGGACTGACACTCTGCAGGAGCCATAGCCTCACCTACCCTGAGACCAGAAAAACTAGATGGTGTCTGGCTACCACTACCAACTATTATAGGGTGTTGATAGACAGACCCTGATAGAACAGACTGTAGTGATTGCTATGTGTGGTCTTACTTAGGTCTACAATCAATGTCCTTGGTACCAACAGTCCAGAAATCAAAGACATCTTGAATTGGTAAGATCTGCTGTCAAGGACCTCTCCAAAGTAATGAAGAGAAATGACATCAGTTAAGACTAGAGTGCACCTAATCCAAGCCATGGTCTTGCTATGCATCTGAAAGTTGGCCAGCGACTAAGGATGACAGAAGGATCTAGCCCTGTGAGATGTGGTATTGAAAAAGAACACTGGACTGCTAAAAGAACAAACAAGTATATCTTGGAGAAAGTGCAACCCGGGTGCTCCTTAGAGACAAGGATGATGAGGCTTTGTCTCAAATATTTTGGGCATGTTCTTAGGAAGAGCTAGTCCTTCAAATAGGGCATCATGCTTGGAAAAGCAGAAAGTCAACACAAGAGAGAAAGACCCTCAACAAGATAAATTGAGACGGTGACTAATAATGAGCTCGAGTACATCAAAGATGGTGAAAACAGCAAAAGATAAGACAGGTTGAGATCTGCTGTTCATCGGGTTGAATTATTGTCAAATCAACATCAACAATAACATTAGCTGGAGCTTGATAAAACAGATTGTAGTTATCTCTATATGAGGTCAAGGTGGAATCAATTCATAGCTGGCCCTCCATGAGGGTGTAAATTGGACAAGAGGAGTACCTAGCACCTAAGATATTCAGCCTAAGATATGTAGTTAGTAGCACAAGTCCCTCCTGACTACTTGGCTACACCACCAGAACTCTCTTTTCCCCATCTACAACAAGAGAAAAATGCTGAGTGTATCTCAAACTCTTGAAGAGTTCAGACTCACCAATTTCAACTTCATAAAGATTTTTTTTGCAACAATATTAGGGTTTTTTCTTCCATAGAAAAGAAAATGCAGACTTATTGGATCAGATGAGACTAGAGGACCTCCTAGGTGATCATCCATACAGACTCTTTAAGTCTTGAAAAGAAACTATTCCCTGAGGTCAGCTCTCAGTTAACCTAACAGATTGACACACAAAATAAAGGATATTACCTGTAGGTGTGGCACTCCATTTAAAAATTATGAGACTGCATAAAAAAATGTGAAACTGAAAGGTCAACAATTGCTCTAATGTAAATATGAGACAATAAGGGGATAGAGGTACCAGAGCACTGGAAATGAAATGGTCAGAAAGCAATAAAGTGGAATATAGACACATTGGCAAAAATATAACTACTGTCACCGAAAAATTTGTGTCAAATACAAAAACCCAAACTCATGACCATGGAGTCAGAACCAATTCACCATCAACTCCACAAATCACACGGGAAGAGCTTGTCTGTCTTTCTCCCATGGAGCAGTTGGTGGCTTGAGACAGCCAGAAAGGTTCCTTTAGGTTAGCTGCACAATTCCCTAACGACTAGATCACCAAGGCTACGTATTTCAATAAAACATGTAATAAAATATAAAGACAGAAACAAACTTATAAAACATTTTCTATTTGTTGAAAAGATATTTTATTAAAATATGCTTTATTGTTATTTTTTTAAATGTTTACACAGCAAATTAGGTTCAGAGTTGATAATTTCTACACAAATTTTTTTGTTCATTTTAGTGAACTTTTACAGAGATTTTGGATATCCATTCATTCATTGTTGCATTTTCCTCCCTGCCCACCCCTCCTCATCCCCTGACAGCCAGCTCTTCTTTTTTAAAAGTAAAAGAAATATTCCTTCATTGGTATACAATCCCCTCGCTCCCCCAGCCCCGCCTTGAGTACACTCCACTATACAACCTTCGTTCTGGACTCTTGTGATAACCATAATACCCTATCATATAACGCTTTTAAACTGTTCTCTCCCTCATTCGTTTCAATGCAGTATACATAATTTATCCAGTTTTTCTAAGCCTTACCCCAACCCTGATGTCAGTCCCATTCTACAGCAGCGGCACTATGCAGTGTTTGCCCTTTTCTACATAAATTTTTCAGAGACTCTGTGGTGCAGTCCGTAGGGAGTTGTGCTGCTAATTCAAAGGCACATGCTACGAATCCACCAGCTGATCCATGGGAGAAGGAAAGGAGCAGTCCCATCCCACGCAATTAACTGCCTCTGAAAACCCATCAGAGGGTCAGGTATAGGTCTCGAATCAACTACACACAACAAGTTTTTATTTATAAACCTGTTGTTGTTGTTGTTATGTGCCGTCGAGTCATTTGCGACTCATAGCGACCCTATGTACAACAGCTCTAAACCCTGCTGTATCCTGTGCCAATTGCACTGCCTCTGACACTTGCA